AGGGCCAAGGCCCTGCTCACGGGAAGCTCCCACTCAAGGGGAAGGGAGCATGTTAGGTGGGGAGAGGTGCAATGGACAACGGAGGCGTATGTTTCAGAAAGGTGACAGGCGCGGGCCCACTACCCTCCACCCTGCTCTCAGCAGCAATCGGCCCTTCTCTGCCTCACTGTTGCCTGTTTGCTCATGGTCAGTCCCACTGTAAAAAGGCCCCGGGGGAGGGGGAGGAGGATGTGATGTTCCAAGCTGGATCCCCAGCACAGCAGGGTGGTAGCTGGCACAGTGTGGGGCTCAGCAAGTAGGTGCTGGACCAAAGAATACCTGGGAGACTACCAGAAGGACTGGAGAGGTGTCCTCTGGCTTCTGATGTGGCCAGAGGGGCGAAGACAGGCAAGTCCCGACACTCCGAGCTGAGAATTGGTGGAATGGCCAGAGGCAGGTCCTTTGTCACAGAAGCCTCCTATGTGCCAGGCCGGCCTGCCAGCCAGCACGCGATGGGGTCAGACAGGGGTACCAAGGTCAGGAAAACTGGGGTGGCGGGGGAAATACAAAAAGGCAAAGAAATGAGCTCATCAGAATGGAGTGTGATTAGATGCATGACAGAGGACACAGGCCGGGTGGCAAGCAGGGGACATGGAAGGTATTTCGTGCCTGGGTACTAGGTGGTGCTAGATGATGCCACCTCCTTCCTTTCCACCCTTTGTAACCAGGCTCCTACCCGTTCCTGCATTACCCCCCCACTCAAGGTCCTTTCAAGATTTTTCAAGCTTGTCCCCCCCACCTCCCGCCCCCACACACCCATCCTTGGAGGACATGACTGGGACAAGAGCAATGCAGCTGGAGGGCTGACACGTCCATGATAGACCACATCAGAAGAATAAAGGGCCAAACCCACGTGATCATCTCAACGCCACAGAAAAGGTAGTTGACAAAATCTAACAACCCTTCATGATAAAAATGCTCAAACTAAGAATAGAAGGGAATTTCCACAACCTGATAAAGAGCATCTAGGGAAAGCCCTCGCTAACCTCATACTCATTGGTCAAAGACTAGAAGCTTCTCCTTAGATCAGAAACAAACCGAGGATTCTCACTTCTATTCAACACTGTACTGGAGATTCTAGTCAGAGTAAAGAGGCAAGAAAAAGAAACAAAAAGTATGCAAATTAGAAAGGAAGTAAAACTATCTCTATTTGCCCATGACATGATCTCTGAAGAATTCACTGAAAACTACTAAAGGTAATAAATGAGTTTAGTAAGGTTGTAAGGTACAGGCTCAACATACAAAAATCAATTGTATTTTAATACGGTGGCAAGAAGAAAGGTGAAAAAGAAAATTAAGAAAACAATTCCACTTACGACAGCATCATAAAGAATAAAATACTCAGGAATAACTTTAACAAAAGTGTAAACCATCAGCGAAGGAAACTTAAGACTTCAATGGGAAAACTTTCCATGTTCACGGGTAATACTCCCCCCCCCCAAACTGATCTACAAATTCAATGCAATTCCTACAAAACTGCAGCTGGCTTCTTTTCAGAAATTGACAAGCGGATCTGAAAATTCATGTAGAAACTCAAGGGACACAGAATAGCCAAAACAAAGTTGGAGGACTCACACTTCCTGATTTCAAAATCTACTTACAAAGCTATGGTAAGTAAAAGCAGCGTGGTCCTGGGAAAGACAGACGTTTCTCCGGAAAAGGTATGCAAATGGCCAATGGCAAATGAAAAGATGCTCAACGGAAATGCAAATCAAAACCACAATGAGTTACTACCTCACACATAGTAGGATGGTTATTATGAAAAACATGTATTGGGAAGGATGCGGAAGAAATGGGAACTCTCTTATATTGCTGGTGGGAATGTTAGATGGTGCAGCTCCTGTGGAACATAGTTCAGCAGCATCTCAAAAATCAAATAGAATTACCATACGATCCAGCAATTCTATTTCTGGGTATATACCCAAGAAAATTGAAAGTAGGGACTCAAACAGATATTTGTACACCCACAGCAGCATTATTCACAATAGCTAAATGGTGGAAGCAATCCAGATGTCCATCAACAGATGAATGGATAAATATTAGGTGGTATAGACATACAAGGAAATGTTATTAAGCGATAAAAAGATATTTTAGTACTGATCCATGCTAAAACATGGATGGAACCTTGAAAACACGATAAATGAAAGAAGCCAGACACAAAAGGTCACATGTCATATGGGTCCATTTAGATTAAATATCTGGAAAAGGCAAAGCCACAGACAGAAAGTAGATTAGTAGGTGCCAGGGGGCTGGGAGGGGGGCGGGAATGGGTACGGAGTTTCTTTTTAAGGCGACGGAAAAGTTCTGGAATTAGGGAGTGGTGATGGTTGCATAACTCTGAATATACTAAAAACCGCTGAATTGTACACTTTACGAGGGTATGAGAATTATATCTCATTAAAATGCCTGCGAGTCATCAGGAGAAAAGGACCTGGAATTCAAGGCTAGAATAGAGACTTGGAGGTTGTTAACCTGGGAGTCAGGGATTTCTGGGGATCTAGGCAGAGGCTCCGGGGAGTCCTGGCACAAGGAAGCCACGTGGCAAGTGGTGCAGGTGTGAGCGCGCATTTCTCCGCGCTGCACTGTCTCCCAGTGGGGCCCCTTACTCTGGGGTAAGGTGCAGAGGCCACGGGCGGGCATGGAGTCAGAAGAAGTGCCACCGAAGCTGGGGGAGCAAGTGTTTAAGGAGCACGGGGGGCCAGGCAAGGGGTCCTGGAAGCCACCTGGTCTTTTTGGGACAAAAGCTTCCTTCTCCTCTGAGAAGAGGCTGTGCCTGGGACTCCAGCTCCCCAAACGGGGTCACCTGGGATAGCTAATGGTTTCTTCTGCTTTCTAGATTTAAAAAAATTCAACCCTCTTTTGCCTTCCCTTAAGTTTCAAGAATGGTTCCGCTTTTAAAACTGCATCCAGTCTCCCCTTCTGTCCAAACTTCTGCAGGAGCTTTAAAAAAAGAGCAGCATCCCCAGGGACTGGTCAGGGATGGCTACAGCCCGGACCAGTTAACAGTAGAAGGCGGCTGGCCGGTGGAGGCCGTCCAATCTGGGGGGCCTTCTAGCCCAGGCCTTGGGGCTCTCTCTCAAGGAGGAAAGCCTGGGCCAGGAATTTCTCTTCAAGCCCTCCTCCAACATGGAGTCCCGTAAAGGCACTCCCAGTCCGACCTGTGACTGCCACGGGGAGCCCCAAGGGTTACCCACTGTCGGCTCCCAACCACGGCTCATTTCCGGGCGTGGAGCGCGGTGCACGTTGCCCTCCGCTTTCACACATCCCCCATGAGACCGGCCTGAAATGAAGTACTATATCAATGCCTCCCCGGCAGAGTCCAGAGCCCACCGCTTTGGAACCGCTTGCTTTTTGATAGAATGATTCCAAGAAAGAAAGCAGTGAGGATGGGATTCCAAGGCCTCATCGACCAAGCAGCTCGCCTCCCTCCGGCAGCCCCCGGGATTCCACGGGACTGCCTCTCGGTCCCAGCCTGGGTCATTCCCGAACCCGATCCCACGAGGAGGCAATGGCCAGAAGGAGAGATGAAGGGGAGTGGAGAGAACGGTAGAAAGAAGGCGGAGGGAAGGGAGCGGGAAAAGCTGAGTGCTCCGCGCGGCCCGGAGGCACGCCCCCCCGGAGCGCGGCCAGGCTCGGGCAAGAGTCCCCACTCCTGCCCCTCTCCCCGGGCCGGAGGGTCTAGGCTCCCAGCACAAATGCTGGGCTTCCCCGGCTTCCCCGATCCCCCCATGCACTGGTTCTTCCCCCTGCCCGCGCCCCAGCAGATGTAGGGGTTCCCTCTATTCTTCTAAGGAGACCCCGTTCCCCCGGCCAACGCCGCTCCAGCCTGCACTTGCTCCCCAGTCCGGACCAATAAACACGGAGTTGAAGCGCATACCTGTCTGTGCCCGGTCTATCCCTGGATCCTGACTCCCTCTGACCTTGAACTCCCTCCACTTAGCCCCGGGGGTGCCTCAGGCCACACCATATAGGACATTTCTCTACACAGTTCAGAGCGCACACAGAAAGTACACACACGCGCGGACGCAGGAGCCTCCGCGTACACACAGACTGGGCACAGGCACGCACTCACGATGTCACGCCACGCACAGGCAAGGAAGACCCTGTCCAGCCTCGGGGCCGGAGGTCCAGGTCCGAGTGCGCAGCCCGGTGTCTCCTCTTCCTCTTCCTCCCAGCCACGCACCGCCCGGTCCACACAGCCTGGGTCATTCCCGAACCCGATCCCAGCGGGACAGAGCGAGGCCCAGCGGGACAGAGCGGGCCAGAGCGGGCCAGGCACCGCCGCCCGCGGGCGGCTTTCCCCGCTGACCCTGGCAGCGGCCACTCACTGGAGGCGCGCAAGGCCTGGGAGCCCACCGTTTGGGCAGGGCCGAGGCAGAGAGTGGGTGCCGGGTTAGGCACCCCGGCCCGGACCGGGCGTAGGTGGGCCACCAGGTCGCCCGCGCGCTCCTGCGCTCCTGTCCTTCGGAGACCTGGATTTGGCCGCCCCTCGGGACGCGGGAGCCCGGCTCCTTGCCCTGCCCTGGGTCCAGCACCGCAAGCGTGTGCAGAAAAAGGAGCCCGTTGCCATGCAACCTCTACCCCGCGCCGGCGCCTGCAGCACCGCGCCTCCCAGCTCGCCGGCCAGGGGTGCAAGCGCGCAGGACCTGGGCTGAGCCTTACACTTCCCGAGCGGGTCCGATCTGGACCCAGGGCTTGCGTCCCAATCTACTCCGGGCGCCCAAAGGATGCGCCCCGCATCCCTATGCCCACGCAGCTCCCCCTGTCTGTGACTGGTTTCCACAGGGCGCCAATACCCAGCAACCACAGAAATTGAAGAGGAGGATGGCTTCCTACCTCTTCCTCTAGAGCCCTCCAGCCCTCCCACGTATGCTGCCCCGGTTCCATCAGGCCCACCCCCGGGCTGGCTTCTTCCCCAGGTGTCACCCACGCCCCCCGCCCCAGCGGCCTAGCCGCCCTACCTGAAGCATCACTTTGTACTGCTCCTCCGGTTTCTGGACCACGCACATATTACATCCCATGGTGCTAGCCGGCGAGGAAAGGAGAGCGGGAACGAGAAAACGCCTTTCACTGGTCGGTGC